GGCGCCACCGGCTCGCGTCGGCCTCCCGAGCCGGTCCCGGACATGCTCCCAGCACGGCTCTGCTCCTGTGCTCTGGGGCCCTACCTTGGAGAAGTCTCCAATGAGCTCCCGGTGGTCGTTGGCCAGCATGTTCTCGATCTCCTCGTGGCAGAAGGACCTGGAGCGCATCAGCCGCGCTTTCTGCAAAGGACAGGCGTTAGCAGGGCTTGGCCAGGGGACGTCTCCTGCCCTGCTTCGTCCAGAGCCCGGAGCAACCCCGCCGGGGAAGGGTTCGATCACGGCGGAGCCTCAGCACCACCGGCACAGCCCTGCGTGGGGGCTCCCCGCTGCGCTCGCGGGGGGCCAGGTGGAAGGGAGGAAACCTCAGCCCGAAGCATCACTGCAGCACCCAACGGCTCGGCCACCTTCTCCTCCCCGGGGGTGCCGGCCACGCTCCTCCGCCGCTTGGTCTTGACCGGGGTGTCTCTGTCCAGGGGCCTGTCTATCCGCTTCAGGATGGGCCTGATCACGCTGCTGGGCATCGAGGGCGACCGGAAGAGCTGCCGGCACTTGCTGCGCTTCACTGGCCGCTGTTCGGAGGAAAGCCTCGTGTCACCACCCGCCGGGGCAGGCCTCCTCCCTGCACCTTGGCGGAGGGCAGGGACACCAGCGGTGGCCTGGGACATGCCCAAAGCCCCACAGCTAATCCCAGCCACAGGTCAGGCAGGTCCACACCATCCTTCACCTCCAGAGAGGGGACCTGGGGCTAGCTCAGGTCACCATCTTCCAGCTCACGGAGCCAATGGGGACATGGCACAGGACCTCTGTGACCCAACAGTCCCTCCTGCATCCCCATGTGGGACACGGGAGCAAGACCTGTCTGGACCAGTATCCCCAGGCCGTTGCTGCTCACTAACCACCCCCTTTGCCAGGGGAGCAGCCCGGGGGGTGGCAGGGACCTGCGCCCCCAGCTCCTCCCCCCCAGACCCCAAAGGCAGGACCTTGGGCCTCTCCTGGAGCCCACCAGGCCCTCGTGGTGCAGGGAAGCTCCCACCTACCGGCTCTGCCTCCTCCTTCTTCACCAGCGGGGCGGTGAGCAGGTTCTCCATCCCCTGCGGCACGTCCGCATCACTCTGGGAGAGCGGAGAAGGGCACAGCGGGAAGAGGCAGAGGAGCACATGAACAGGTCGAATCCCACCAGCCTCTCCCAAGCACCCCCAGAGAGGGGACGGCTGGGGCAGGCAGCCGGGGATCCCCTCCATCCGCCTGCTCCTGTCCCAGGGCGTCCCAATCCTGCCATGCAGCCTGGGAAGGGGGAGCAAGCAGGGCAGAGGGCCTTGGTGGTGCTGCAGCAGGGGCAGGATGGCTCAAGGACACCACGGGCACCCACCGGGGCAGGGTTCACCCATAGTCAGCAGGGAGTGAGATGGGACCAACCGATGCAGACGCTGGAGCCGCATCTGGGGCCTCTCAGGGTCTCAGGTCGTGTCCTGGGGAGACTCGCGCCCAGCAGACACAGCCCCCAGGGCAGAGGAGCTCTCCATACCTTCATGTCCTCCTCATCCAGGATCTCCATGAAACCATCATCTTCCTCCTCAGTCATGGAGGAGGTCAGGGAGCAACGGCGCAGCATCACAGGGCTCTCGCCCTCGGGCACGTTTTCCTTCTCAGGGGTGTCGAACTGGGGAAGGACGGGGCATGCAGCTCAGGAGGAGCAGGCTGGCCCCACACTCAAGCCACATCATCCCCAGCAGCCCGTTTGGTGCATCCGGACACCCTCCCCTCTCCAGGCAGCAACCCCCAGTGCCAGCCCACCCCACTGGTCCCCAGCACAGGGCTGCAGGAGTCACCGCAGGACCATAGCGGTCACAGCTGCTCCTGGACCCCACCAGCTCCCCTGGCCCTACATCTCCAGGGCAAGCACAGTTGCACAGAGCTGGTGTCCGCTCAGAGCCCCTGTCATCGCGCGGTGCCAGGAAGGATGATCCAGCGCTGCCAGCAACACCCACCCCAGCCATGCCGGGCCCCCAGAAGCACCCTGCTCCCCCTGGCCAGCACACAACCCAGCTCACCAGGAGGTCGGGAGCAGAGCTGGGTCTCTGTGCGAAGGGGTCCTTCGCCGGAGCCCCGTCGAACGTGTGCACCCGGCTGCGGTAACCCGGCCTCTGCGGCTTCTTGAACACAAAACCCTCCTGCAAGGGAGGGCACGGCGTTAGCAGCCTCCTGCCCCGTCCCCACGCCACTCCCAGCCTCGCTGCCCCACTCACATCGTCCGGGGCCCCCCGCCGCCCCTGCTGCTCATTGCTCCTCGGGCCGTTGAACTCCTTGGCGTTGGAGATGTTCTTCAGGGCTGGGCTGGCCCCCAGGAGCCGTGGCTGGAGGGGACACGGGGG